GATCCACCTTTTAATTTTAAAATCCTCTGGTAAATCTAAGCATTGAGAACTCTGTGGACTGTAAGGGCCACCAGCCAGGAAGATGATGCTTTACTTGCTGCCCTATCTAGAGGCGGGGCCCGTTGATGTGAAGACATCTCTTCCCTGCAAAGCTTTGGGGACAGCTTTCTTGTCCCTGAGGCTCCACAACACAGGCTGCCCATCCTCAGGCTTGTGTGTTGGGGGGCTCAGGCCATCATAGCTGGGGCTGCCTGTCAGTATGCAAGGTGCATTTCCTCCTGGTCTGGACACCTTCCCAGAGCCCAGGGAATCACTGTGGACAGGAAGTTCCTAAAGAGCAGCTGGTAAGGGCTGCAACTTAAGGGCCTGTGAGCTCCCAAGAAACTGCCTGAGGTCTGATTCAGATGGACAAGGGAACACATTTCCTCCCACCCCCTGTCCCAGCATGCTCACAGAATGAACGTGATCACAGAAGACGACTCTGGACTGGAAAAGTCTCAAGAAGTCTGCTGTTTGCAAGAGAAAAACATGGAGAGGAGTTGATTCCAAGGAGGGCGTGGGGACTGCTGCTAAGCTTGTCAAGGCCGAGTATGGTCAGCCAATGGTGCCAAACAGGCAGCCAGGTGGTATTCCCAGGCTACGAAGCTGCGGAGGATTGAGACAGAGCCCTCTCAGAGCACAGCCTGCAGCTGGCCTTTGATCTACAAAGTACTTTCCTTCAGAGCTCAAAGCATCCCTCTCAGATATGCCTAATTTAGCCTCACCCTCATACATCACAAATACGGACTTTAAGCCACCACCTCAGAGCAAGGGAACTGGCCCCCACTGGGGTGGGACCTCTGGCATCCCAAAGTGGTTCTGCCTCCAGACAGCACAGCTCTACGACCCCTGGAGATCTCAGCTTTTCTTCCAGAAAAAGGTAAATGCAGGGGATGCTCTCCAGGGCAAAGAAATTCCCAACGCTAAGTTCTTCCCAATATCTATACGGTACCCTCATGCTAAAGTGTGAAGCCTTCTCCACGTCTGCACTGTGAATGCAGAGGGGGCCTGCTCAGTGGAAGTCTCACCTCCCTTCCTTAGAGAGAAGTGGAGGCACAGGAGGGGCTCAAGTTCGAAATTTCTTCAACCTCTGTGCTAAAGGACCAGGGTGTGGGAGACTGAATGGTCCTGCCTTTATTTCTGATATGCAGGTTAAAAAATAATTCATGGCCATGAGTGAAGAGGACTCTGGGTTGTTTCTAACGATGCCCCAGGACGCTCTGAGGGGTTCTCCTGGCCTCAGCTACCAAGGGCTTGCCACCTCCAGCTGCCACCTCCTTCCTCCTAGGAAGTGGGGGTGAGTGTGAGGAGGAAGGTGGGGTGGGCTTTTTCCACTCACAGCCACACTGTGACCTGGGGGATATGACCCAGTCTGGGATGCTAGGGATGGGGAGTGTGTGTCCTGCCTAACCTGCATAAGGCCGGAATCCCCCCAAGGTCAGCCTCATTTTCTCTGGCCCTGTGGGAGAAAGAAACAAAGTGTGTGGTTTGCACAAGGAGAAAGAAGTTAGAAGCTGTGCTGCCCACGGCAACGCTGTTCAATGTTTCATTTGCATGGGGATTCTCTGGTCTGTCTTGAGCAGAATTTCCATGCGTCTAAGCGCTGTCTCCTCAGTGTGATTCTGACCTCCTCAAGGAGAGGGACTCTATGTTCCCTTTGCTTAACTCAGACCCTGGCATGGAGGGAGTGCTGGTTTGATGCTAGCTGCTGGTAACACATAGACTGTGTTCCGCCTGGTGCCTGGCCTGGGGCGGACATGCAGCCATCCCGACCTGAGCTGTCATCTCCAGCTTCCAGGATAGGCATGCATTTGCCAGATGGAGTTGAAATGCCATTCCCTATACTGAAAAGTAAGCGAGTGGAGGAAACTGGGAGATATGCTCACAGCTCACCAGAACCAACTCTTCTCCGTGGGATTCCTCTGGGCTCCATCCCAAATCAGGCCATCCCCGAGAGCTTCCTCCTACTTCATCTCCAAGACCTGAAAATGTCCCTCCCACAAACAACCTTACACCTCCAAACTCACTTTCTAAATGTCTTAGAATCACTTCACCTCACCCTGAGTCATTTTCAAATAATCCCACTTTCATATCCTATACCCCGTTGGGATTTCCAGCCTGTTGTCTGATGTCTGGGCTGCAAGTGCCCTTATAGACAGGTCCACCAGCAAGGTGTGACCCACCTCTTTATAAAAAAATAGAAGAGACTAAAAGAGGCTCTCATACAAGATATCAGATGTTGCCAATAAGGAAACGGATGCACAGAGAGGTAACGCAAGTTGCCTGAGGTCACACAGCTGGTATGTGCCAGTTCTGTCTCCGATTTCAGTGCCCTGCCCAATACAGTCTGCAGTTCTCTGGTTCTGCATCCAGAAATACCTCTGGAATGGGACTGGCCGTAGAGTTCAGTGAGTCCCCAATCCCAACACAACTCCCTAGCCTGGAGTGGGCCTTGATCGGCTGACCCCAGACAGGCACAGCTGGCAGGGATACTGACTGAGGATGAGCACGGAGAGGCCGTCAACTTTGGCTGAGCCGGCTTTGCACATGCAGCCAAGAGCGGCTTGACTTTTATCTCAACAACTTTTCAGGCAATTAAGAAATGAGGACAAAACACTAACAGGGGCCCTGAAAGATGGATGTCAGGGGTAAGCAGCTCTCCAGCAGGTCAGGGGCACTTATTTAGTCCTGCAGCGATGCTGGCCAGCAGAGGTGGTCCTGCAGATGAGATGCCAGGCCAAGGCTGGGTAATTACCCACTGGTTCAGACTGCAACGATCTCCTTAGAGAACAGAAGAAGGCCTTCCCCTCTGGGAGAGGCCACGTGCCTTTTGCTGTGGCTCCTCCAAGGTGATCAGTGCTGGGGTCAGAGGGGAGAAGGGGTGAAGTGGGGTCAGCAACTAGTCCAGCCCCTCATTTTACAGATGGGAAAACCAAGGCTCAAGAAAGGCCAAGAAATTTGAGTAGAGTCACAGAGCTGGCTGGTTGCAGAGCCATACGTGGCTCAAACCCTGGACTCCTGATTCCCAGTCTCCTACTTCCCAAAGTTACATGCTAAGCACCTGGACATCCCGTTAAAATGCAGATTCAGTGGGGCTGGGGGCCAGACTTTGCCTTCCCAAGATGTTTCCAGGTGATGCCAATGTTGCTGGCCCACAGACTCCATTTTGAGCAGCAAATCTCTCTGCTGTTGCCTGGAAGGATACAGGGATCCTTAAACTTAGCCTCTGACTACACTGAGGCTCAAACTCTCACTTCAGCCAGACAAATCCTCTAAGACTGACAAAGATACTTATTTAAAATATTAATAATTATTATTTTGACATTCATTGAATATTTATATGCCAGCACTGTTCCAAATACTTACATGCATTATCTAATTTAATCCTCACAGCTCTGTGAGATGGATACTACCCCTATCTTGCAGATAAGGAAGCTAAGACTCAGGGAAGTTAAGCAACTTGTCCTAAGTTGCACAGCTAGTAGGTGAAAGAATCAGTATTCAAAGTCAGTTCTGTCTGATTCTTAACTAGGAAATGGCTTCATAAAAATATACCCTTTAATTCTTTCCTTCTCTGAACTTTGGGAGCCTCTCTCCAGAATGTTCTTAACTATCCTCCAGCCAAACCATGTTTCCCCAATGATACTGGGCCTCAACTTCCTCATAATGCAGAGTCCTAAAAGTCTTTTCTCCCCAGATCTGTGTATATGTAATGGACCTCAACAAGCTATTTTTAGAGTTAAGGTCGGGGAGGCACAGGATGAAAAGGAGATGGGACTTACAATAATGTATAAATAGATGATCTACACAGCAAGACACAGGCTGATCTCTTCTTATCCAATTAGAGGCTGCATGCTTGCTCTAAGACCATTTCAGCATAGACTCTGAAACCGCCTTCCAGGCTTTGCTAGAAGTGTCTGAATAGAGGAGCAGGTGGCCTGTGGAACTGCCTAGCCATGGGATTGTTGAGGATTCCTACAGAATATGAGCAAATCTCTGGGTGTGGGCCAGATTTCATAGCAGAGGCATGGGGCAGGGCCTCCTCTGTATACTTCCAAGCCCTACTCAGATCCAGCCCTGTGTTTTGGCCTCGCCTTCAAGGTTATGAACCATCCCTAGTTATACCACATCTAAGGCCATGTTCACAAGATGCAAGCTCATGGCTGTCAATGTGTTAAAGAACTACGAACAGCACAGCACCGATAGCCATGCATTAATTCTCATGAAGAGACTGGTATCCAGCAGGCTTGCCTCAGTTTTGTGATACACGCGCCTGTTCTGACTCTGGTTCAGTTCTTCAGCAGCTTCTTCGATTGTTGTTTGACTTGCCTGGTCCTGTCTTCTGGAGAGGCCATGGAAGCAAACAGGACAGACGGAGACATGAGGCCATGATGGGAGATAGCGGTCAGGAAGAGGGACATTCAGCAGGACTATAGATCACCTTACCACACACACCACCTCTGCAAAGTGGACTGATCTGGCACTGGGGAATGGCCCCGTATGCCGGGGCCTTGCTGCCTGGAGACAAGCGGAGGGATTTTTCTTCTGGTTGCGGGCACCTGGCTAGCTCACCCCGAGCCCTGGCTCTGCTGTTTACAAGCTGTGCCTTCCGGGGCATACTACTTAAACTTTCTGGGTCTCCATCCCTCCACCTGCAAAGTGTGCAGATAATAAACGTGCAAAATGATAACCAGTCCCTGCTTCAAAGGATTGTGGTGAGAACTAAATTAACTAGTGTACGAAAAGTATTTAGAATACGGCCTACCATATAGCTTATCAAGGTGAGGGAGAGCTTAAAAATACACATTATCGTGAGAGACATAGGGCCCGGTCCCCACTTCGGCAGACAGCAATAAGGAGTCATCACAGAATGTTTTGGCAGGAGACCTAAGAGAAAGTGCACTGTGTATCTCTCTTTTTCACATATAGTTACAGAAAGCAGCGGACGCTGGGGTACCCACCTTTTTAGGGCACACTCCAGTTCATTCTTCTCCTCATGGGCTTCTTGGAGCTGAGAGAAGATTCTGGTCAGGAAATCTTCAAAGTTGGATAGTAAATGAGGCTCATCCTTCTTCAGCTGCAGCCAGAGCTGCTTGACATCACTTTCACTGCAAGAGAAGGGACGTTCATGTAGAAGCATGGAAACAAGGCTCCGTGGGAAATACAGAGGTTCCCAGATAGGAAACTGACAGCCGGAAACAGTGCCGTCAGAATAAGTATAAAGATGACCGTAGCTAACGTGGACTGAAGGCTTGCTGCATGCGGGGAGACTCATGGATATCAGCTCATCTTGTCCTCACAGTAACCCTACGAGGCAGGAGCTGCAATTACCCCATTTACGGATGAGGAAGCAGGTGAAGAGAGGTGGAGCAAGCTGTCTAAGATCACCCAGCAGTAACTGATGGAGTCAGGGGTCCAGCTCGGGGCTGTCTGACTCCAATGTTGGCTTCCCTCCCCATCTCGCTCTGCTGGTTCCGTTCTCCCATGTCCTTCACGACGGGCTCATGGGGTTGAGCATGCTCAGAAACATGCTCAGGTGCATCTCCAAATGCCGGGAGGAAGACAGGAGGATGGGAGCCTGGTGCGTATGAGGACACATGCTATGGAGCTAAAGGAGAGAGCTTGTTGCCCCCCAGGAAGGATGGTCCTCACTGCTGAGAGGTAGACCTGCCATGTGATGGATGGCAGAAAGCAATTGTCGCTGCAGAAAGGGAAGAGAATATGCAGCACCCCACTGGGGCCTGGTGGCACCAGGGATAACTGACAGGCAAAAAGAAGGGAAAGAGCGAGTCTGAAAGATGTGCTCACACAGAAAGACAGGGTGAGAGAGATTCGGGAGATCGAGGGCTGATAGACAAAGGCACAGAGGCACGTGTGTACACAGCTCAGCGACGGAGACACATGGGCTCAGGCTGAAACCCAGGGAGGGAATGAGGAGGAGACACCCTGTTCTCCCTTTCTGGAGAAACTAAAAAGTTTATAGCCTATGATCAAGCTAAGTTAAACATAAATCTGAAAGAGAATAGGTTTTAATTCAATAGAAGTTAACAATTTCTCACAGCTAGCAAGCAATAGAGTGTTATAGTATCAAGTTCGAAAGTTACATAACAATAAAAGTAGTATTCAAGTGAAATTTCATAGGCTATTTTATTACAAATAACCTATTCAACTTTATTCTAGCGAAGTAGAGAATAAATATAAATCTTATCCCCCAAACAATCAGGTTTTTGATTTTTTAAGTTAACAGGCACATGTATATTTTCCAATACTTTTTTCACATTTATATAACAAGATGTAATAACTAGCTCAGTTCACTGTCTTCTCAGTCTTTTGTTACTTAAATATTCACTCTGTGTCTTAATCTTTCAAATTTATGGCTATTGAAAATATAAGTCCTTCACCTCCTTCCATCCTTTCAATATAATTACATTTTGACTTTCTTGTTAAACTTTGAGACTTTATGTAATGCACATTTCACATTTAATTAAGGAAAATCACTTATGAACATCGTTTTATGAGAATAAAGTTATCTATATGCCTATACTTTTCTTGAGCTCTTTCCAAAATTTGCTGGTCCATTTCAGTCATCTGCACCTTGACAATCTGTCACCAAAATTCATGTTGGCTCCCCAGGAATCCTCAGGATGAAGAATAACATTATTTGTGCTAGTGTAATAAGCATTATATTTTAGAAACTTTCTTCAGAGGTGATATTTGACAGCGCTATACTAGCAATGCTCCTGTGGCATGGACATTACTCTCTACGTCCTGCAGAGAAGAGGCCCAGTGAGAAATGGGTGGTGACCTCCCATTCCTGTGGCAGGTTTCCCTGCTGTGGTCTGAATGTTTATATCTCCTACAAATTCATGTGTTTAAAGCCTAACCCCCAACATGATGGTATCAGTGGTTGAGGCCTTTGAAAGAGGTGATCAGATCTTGAAGGCAGAGCCCTCATGAATGGGACTAGTGCCATTGATACTGTGTTCTGTAATCAGCATTGTTTTAAAACTGTATGCTAATTCCCAAATATGACATGAAATAAATGTGTATACTATTATGACTACATAATATACTATTATGACTCCTTCTCCAGGAGGATGTGTCGCATGGTCACCAGGAACAGTCTCTGTGCTCTGGCCTCCTGTTCTTGGAGAAGCTGAGAAGCTGAGTCAGGTGTATAACTAATGAGCTTCCCACCCACCTGTGCCCTTTCCACTTGCCTAGCTGCAACCTCTGTGATCCACACCTGCTCTAGCCCCTTCTAGGCACGCAGCAAAGCTGCTGTTGCTGCTGGTTTTGAGTCGCACTTCCTGTGCCTGTGCAGCACCCCCACCAAGATCTTTCCTACGCCTTTGCCTGTCCCTTTCTTGCCTGGAACACACTCTGCCAGCCTTTCCCAATTCTGCCACAGTTTACCAAATTGTTTGCTAAGAAAATCAAACACCGCATGTTCTCACTCATAGGTGAGTGTTGAACAATAAGAACACATGGACACAGGGAAGGGAGCATCACACACTGAGGTCTGTGGAGGGGGATGGGGAGGGACAGCGGAGGGTAGGGAGTCGGGGAGGGCTAACATGGGGAAAAATGCCACATGGGGAAAAATGCCAGATGTAGGTGATGGGGATGGAGGCAGCAAACCACATTGCCATGTATGTACCTATGCAACAATCCTGCATGGTCTTCACATGTACCCCAGAAACTAAAATGCAATTAAAAAAAAAAACATATATATATACACACACACACAGAGATATACATACATACATACATATATATATATATATATATATATATATATATATATATGTAATTGACAGAGCTTCAGCCTGCAAATCGTATATAGGTCTCTTCTCTCTTTATCATTTTCCACCACAGCCCCTTCTTTTCCCAAGCTCAGAAACATCAGGGCATTCTCACCCTGCAGGAAACACACACCCAGCCCAAGACCTAGAGACCCCAAAACAAAAAGGCCAAAGGCAAAGGGTAAAGGGGCAGAAGGTATTACATGCTTTCAGGCCCTCTGACTGGTTTCTACTAGCTATACATCACATTTTACTTATTTTATTTACTTAAATGTCAGGGCTTAGATCCATGTGTCTATTCCAAAGCACTTCTCAGGAAAAAAAAAAAAGTGTTGGGGGCAATTACGTTTTGTTTGAGGTCCAGCCATCTCAAATGTTCCAACTAGTGGCCTGCTAAGAACTGGTTAATTTTCCACCTTGGCTCCTGTACAAGCTTGGTTTGCTGTGGACACAGTGTGCAGATGCCTCCATGTGACGGGCTTTTGCCAGGAAGGTGCCCACAGCTGGGGCAGCTGGGGGGCACGTAGCTCTAGAGACCCAGGAGTGGCTCTGCTGGAGGTAAAGATGCTGGGGCAGCTGACAGTGATAGGAAGCCTTAGGGAGAAGTCTGTGAAAAACCCTGAAGGCATGGGAAAGCCTGATGATGTGTGAGCGTCCCCTGGGGAGCCAGGCTGAGCCAAGGACTTGAGGATGATGCCCTGCGGGTGTGAGGAAGGTAGACGGGGTGGGAGAGAAGGAGAATGGGAATGTTTCCTAAAGAAAAAAAAAATGTAAAAAGCAGAGACAGAGCCCAACACACGGCCAGGTCATCACAAAGGACAGGCCCCAGTTAGCAGCACCATGGGCAGGGACCAGCACCACATGGTTAATAAATGTTAATTGTTGAATGGGCACAGGAAGAGGTTTCTAAAAGGCTGGTCTCCATTCTATAAACCACCGTCACCACTTACTCTTCCAAAACCTTCTGGGCTCCAAGTCTGTCCATCAGCATCTGGAACTGGGCTTCCTCGTCTTCATCCATGTCTCCCAGACCCTCCTCCCCTCTGGACTGATACACCTGCTCTTCGTGGTGTTGGGCCACCTGCTCACCTGCATCTTCCTGACTTGGGTTATTCTGGCTGAAGAAGAAGTGACCTAGGGGGTGCAGGACACAAGGATCTGAATCAGACCGTACCCACCCAGGAACAGCTCGGCCTTCTCAGCTGCCAGGGATCACCGAAGGTTCATCTGAGAGAAGGACAGGGAAAGCCCTTCCAGTCTCAGGTTCTGGGTCTTTTCCACTTCCACAAGCACCCCACCAGTGATGCTAGAATCTAGGAAAGGCATAATGCAAGACAGGTATGGTGTCTCCTTTGTGGTTCTCAGTCTCTTAACATCTGGCTTAGAATGCATCTCTTGTTGATTTCTTCTTTAAGCAACAAGGCCTTTCCCTCCACTGCGTTCCAGCACCCTGACTGCAGAGGCAGTCCTCCGAGTCATGCCCCCGCTAGCATCACTAGACTTCGCATCTACAAGCTCCCTAACGGTTTCCAGTGTACTTTCTCCATACTCATGCTGTCTGGTATTACAGCACTCTGTCTTATCCTCCTAAGTGAAGCAGAAGCTCCCGAAGGTCAGCAAAGGCATCAGATCCTTCTAAGAAAATGACACGGCCCCGCACATGAGGCAGATGTGTGGTAAAATTTGCCTTTGATGTATCTGATAGGATAGTGTGTCTGGTTTCTTTATATTGTTCATAGATCTCAATTTTCCTTCCTCCAGGTTACCCTGAGAAAGGCTAGTCCATTCAAACCTTTTAGAAATTCCTCTGATAGCTGTTATCCCTCAACCTGGAAGATTCAGCCAGACTTGGGTAGGAATGAACCATCCAGTTGTCCCACTTTCTGGCCACTTTTCTATCCAGGCAGAAAAGCAGAGGCGCAAATCTCCTCTCAAACCCCCCTTTTACGCCATGCCTTCTACAGAGCTTCTGTCCATCTCCCTTGCCAGTCCCAGTGGGAGGAAACTTGGTAGTGACAGTGCAGGGGGCACTGAACAAGCAGCAATGTAAGCAGTTGGGACAGGCATGTGAGGAGGCCCAAGCGATCCAGAGCCTGGAGACTCTGTACCCCAGGTCCCTCAAGGAGGGCAGTAAAGCTTTACTACGTGCCCCACCAGATCTAGAAGAAGCCGGAATACACCTTATACAGCATTAGGTAGACCCATAACCCTGAGGTCCCCAGCACCCATCAGAACTTACTAAATCCAGTAGTGAACTCCTCTGGGGTCAGATAGCCATTGCCATCAGCATCCAGGGCATCAAACACATCCTCCAGTTCCTCCAGACTGAGCGGTAGCTCCTTATGCAGCCTCTGAAAACAACCCAGAGTGTACTGGTTAACGCTGACCCTCACAGTGGGGGTGACCTGGGACTGCAAAGCCTTCTTTCAAAACATGTCTAGAGTTCGGCGCAGTCCTACAAAAACCAGTAGCAAGATTCTGCATCCAGACTGCTTCGCCATCCCTCTCCTCCTTTGCATGTTAGCACAACTACCATTGATTGGGTGCCTACTAATGTACTAAGCAATTTGCTAGATGATTTATAAATAAATATTCAATATGCATTTATCTATCTATCTGCATTTAATTCCCATGACAACGCTTTGAGCTAGGCACTATTATCTCTGTTTTATAGATGAAGTTTGTGGTGCCATCCCCTGCTCCAAAATCACATGGCTAGTAACGACATAGCCAGGAGTCACATCCAGTTCTGATTCCAAAGCCAGCACTCTCAACATCTGTAAAGGACTCAAACGGTACAGGACCAAATGCTTTCAGGATAATAGCCATAGGCGTGGTGTTGTAAAGTTAAACGCGATCACGAATGTTTAACAGTGCCTGCACAGAGAATGCATTCAATAAAAAGCAGTAGGGAGGCAGAGAGACAGAGAGAGACAGAGAGAGACTGAGAGAGATTCACGGCCCACTGAGGCCGCTCAAGGAGTGCACGGCAGAGCCAGGCTTCAAACCCTGTCTTCCCAAGTCCCCTTTCCCCCCCCATTCCATGATGCAGGTGTGGATCATTTACTCCTAGAGTCCTCTCCTGCTGGAGGCCCCTGGTGTCCCAGTGCCTCGGCACTGCATTTGTAAGTGTCTGTGGATACACATTTTGGTCCCTGAGCTCTGAGGGGATGTGGGATAATTCCCCTGCATACCTCTGAATGACCCACACCCAGGACCCACATCCAGGTTCCACTCCTGCTCCCTGCTGACTGATAAGGAATTCCTAATAAGATGTCAACTGCCATTGGCTTAAGGCATCAAGCCCCCAAGAGTAGCTGTGTGTTAGAGGGGACTGGACAGGACGGTGTGAGGAGGTCATCGCCGGGCTTGAGTCTAGAACAGACTCAGACCTCACAAGGACGGAAGGGCAGAGACCAATTGATGGGTTCAGGAGCAAAGTAGCTGAGCTGCTGCTGCTCTCTTCTGGCCTTCCGCCTGATGTGCAATGGCCTGAGGCCAAGGCTAATTTGCATAGTTGAAGCAAGTGTCTCCTTATGCCCAAATTATCTGGGTGTCCAAATGAGAACTCCCCAGAGAGTTCTCAGCCTGGCCAACATAGTGAGACCATCTCTACAAAAAATAAACAAAAAGGCTAGCTGGGCACAGTGGCGTGCATCTGTAGTCCCAGCTACTTGGGAGGCTGAGGTGTGAGAATCACTTGAGCCCAGGAGATCGAGGCGGCTGTGAGCCAAGGTGACACCACTGCATTCTAGCCTGGGTGACAGAGCAAGACCTTGTTTTAAAAAAAAAAAAAAACTAAGATCAGGCCCAGTGGCTCATCCCTGTAATCTCAGCACTTTGGGAGGCCGAGGCAAGCAGATTACTTGAGCTCAGGAGTTTGAGACCAACCTGGGCAACATGGCCAAATGCCATTACTACAAAAAAGGGAAAAATAATTAGCTAAACATTATATCAGCCAACCATCTCCCTTCCTCTCAGTTACCTAAGGGGTAACTATGCAAAACTGCCAGTGTGGAAGTGACTGACAGCCGAAGAGAATGAACACAGGGCTTTGTAGGAAGAAAGGTATAAACCAACCCAGCAATATAAAAGCTGGCAGGTGGGAAAGCCCATAACATAACTGGCAAGAACACTTGGCTTGATCCTATGGCAGTTTTAGCTGATACGCCATAAAGCTTAATTTGGCAGGTACATGCATTAAGGGAGACTACGACGCATTACAAAGTGGGAAGACAGGCTGACGTGGAAGCCATTTGGAAGAATTGAATTAAATATGAATGGGCTTTTCAAAAATGGGAGGAGAGTGAGAGAGTGTGCAAAGATTCTAGAAGTACATCTGCTTAGCATTCAGCAAAATCTCTGACGTATCAACAATCCATAAACCAGCTGTCTCAAAGGCTACAGTAGAAGAATACGGGGTGAGGAGAGAGTCGATTTCGCAAGCAGAGATTCTATTAGCTTCACTCGAAATCAAAAGCATCACGCCTGAGGTATGATAAAAGCTCAAGCTCCTGTCACGCTCACGTTCCAGTCCTTCCTTGGGATAATCCTTCCTCCTTCCCCACCCTCAGCCTAGGATTGCCGGATCTGATTCAAAATGTGGTCTCTCACACTGGGCTGGAGCTACAGATGAGCTGCCAGAAAATTCCAGAGATCAACGGGACCCTCCTCCACATGCCTTTCACCCACACACCCCATACATCTTTTTCTCGTTGGCATGAACCAGGAGAGGCTAGTTCGCAGCTCACCCTAGGCATCATTCCTGAATCTCGCAGCACTTCCAACCCCAAATCCTCCCGTTGTCTAAGACCAGTCCTTCTTGTCTACAGCTGAAGCCAGTTTCCTCCTTCTGTTCTCAGTGAAGATGGGGAAAGCAATATTATAGGTTTCAAGCAATTCTCACTCTTCATGTCCCGGCAGATTAGTGCTGAGCGCTTCTTCAGCCTTCTCTGCAATGCTACTACACCTGATTCTTTAACCTTGTTTTCCTGGCCCTCTTTGAGAAATCTTTTAGTCTCAATAACCATAATTATCTCTTATTTATCGCTCTGCTCGGGGCCTGCAGAGTCATGGAGAACCAGCTTCTTCTGGTATGGTCCCCTGATACTATTTACATTTTTAACCAAGTGAGATAAGCAGGGTGCAGGGCAGTGAGATTATTTATTCCACTGTGCAACAGGCCTGTGAGGCGCCGAGATTTGCCTAAAGTCACAGCGGAGACCACAGCTGGGAAAAGAATTGATTTTCCGACCAGGGCTTGAGCAACTGTCTAATAGTTCTCCAGTGCATTCACTCTGTAATTCCCTCACCTTCATTACCTCCCACCCCCACCCCCACCAGCACCACCAAAATCATAACACAAAGTCTCTCTTGCCAGCACCACCAAGACCCAGCCTTCCGGAGATCCTGCTGCACTCACAGCATTTTCCCACACCCAGAAGGGCGGACCAGGGAAACAGAGAGGCACAAGGAAGCTCTCAGCTTCCTATTCACACTGCCCGTGGCCCAGGAGCTCTTGAGAACTTTGTGGCTCAACACCAGCCTCACTCTTCCTTCACTCTCGGCTCCTGCATCACTTCCTCCGTAAGGCCCTTGCAACTCCCCAGGTTAGGTCAGGTTATACAAGCTCCCCAAACTACATTTCTCCTCTTCATAAGTCTTATCTCCGTGAGCATTTTATATACGGATACATGTGATTAGTTGATGGATGTCTGCTCCTTCAGTGCTCCCGGAAGGGGGACCTCATTCGTTAGGCATTGTTGTGTCCCCAGGATCTAGCCCAATGCTGACAAATAGGGACTACTTAGGTAAGTGTTGAAGGAAGGCGTAAATAAGTGCTTGACTAAGAATGGCAGGAGACCCTGAGCTCCTATGTAGAGTGCTGGTCTACACCTCACACCTCCGGATCCTGACCAGCCCAACTGCTGATTCTCAGCAAGACTTATAGTGACTGGCAAACTTCCAGGACCTGGAACATGAAGCATCTACAGCAGCAGTACTGAGAGTTCATGCTCCAGAGCCGCGGGAAAATGATGTCTTCTGTTGCATTCCTGCCAGACTCCGTTACCTTCCTGGTCACCAGCCCAGAAACATACCTCAGGTAGCTTAAAGCATACGGTCGCATAGCTTCAAACACGCTTCCATGACATTTTTATTAAGGAGAAAATCAGAGGATATCCATGTTTATGTCCAGAATTACACTGTTCGTCCTTCTGGGGCATCCACAGCATTCTTTTCAGACCCCCATTCCAGCACCAACCACCCTTTTCTCTGTGGTACAGCTCAGCTATACCAAATCGCTCCAGGACAACCTTTATCTGCATTGGGCCTTGATGTGCTTGGCTTGGGCTGATTACCTGGTATAGGCCAGAGTTTCTCAACCTCTACACTACTGACATTTTGGAGAGGACAATTTTTTGTTAAGGGAGCAGTGGAGGGGAAAGTAAGGGAGGGACCATCCTGTGTCTTATAGGACATGCAGCAGCATCCCTGGGCTTTGCCTGCTAGATGCCAGCAGCACTTCCCTCAGCAGTCGTTTCAGTCAAAAATGCCTCCATACCCTGTAAGCAACATGGCTGTGCTTTGGTCAAGGAGAGACCAAGGTAGAATGTTCACATCCCGCGTGACTCAGTGAGTTTAGAGCACAGGCATGTAACTCCATTTGTTATCACCGCCACACAGCCATCACAGGAGAAGGCCATCACTTGGCTCCAGGCCACTATTGTCTGTAAAAGGCATACCTGCCCAGCTGACACTGTGCAGGTGTGCTTGTGCCCAGAGAAAGTCAGAGCTGTCTTCTTTGTAGACAGACACTGGGGAGCCAGAACACACGCCCAAAGAGAGACAGAGTTAAGCTGCTGACCCTGAAGGCAAGGAAGAGCCAGGCACATGGCTGTGTGTGGGAGCTGCAGCCAAGACAGGGTGGACTGTGTGAGAAAGCTGTTGATGAGACCTGCTGCTGGCTAAAACCACGTTCACCTGACTACGGCGCCTCGAGTCTTCTTTCTGCTCATCCACCCACTCCTCCAGACCTCAGCACAGGATGGAACCTAACCCCAAGCATGACATTTGGCGTAGTCGTGAAAATGTCACACTGCCTTATGTCCTCTAGGAGGCAAAAGTGTCAGGATTCATGTAGACTGTACACAGAGAAGAACCTTCCACTCATGTCCAGCTCATATCCGGCAGCTGGATATGAGTGAAAGGTTCCCTTTCCAGCAGAAATGCCCATTTCTTTTCTCTAAGACAGGATAGACAACTTGCATCTTAACGTTACAGTGTGATGGTGCAGCCATCGTATAAAATTGTACGGTGTCTCCTCAAAACCTTCACAAAATAGGATTATCCT